AAAAAGGCAAAAAAAATGACTTGAAGTTTGAATTGCTCGCACCTTAAAATGTCTTCATTTTTTGAAACTTAAAATATATTTGGAAATGCCTTTGCTTTTTGACGAACATGATCTTATTTGTTACTCTTAAAAGATTTCTCGATGAACTAAAAATTGTAAAAAAATTGACTTTCTGCCAAATTTTTATCCCCCCCCCCACTCCTAAAAACAATCGACAACCCTGTTTATGAGTGTTGACCAACACTTGAGAACATTGCTTGTCTCGATATTGTGGATGTGGGTATTGATGAACGTCCATACACTTGCCCTCATCCATACCTACAGCCACAGTCGCACGCACACTCACACCATTACTATCTGGTGAATATGGTGGTGCAACTATTTTCTTTTAGGATGGGCTGACCTACCCATAGGTTTTACGAACGATCGAAGACGAAAACTTAAAAAGATAAACTGCTTTCTTTTGCAAATCTAGAATTACAGAAGTTTTTCATAAGAAATATCTGAATAACTCTGTTTTTTGTGTTCAGCACAAGTAATCGGTACGACAGTATGGTTGGCTGAGACAATATCTATTTATAGGCTTTATTAAGGTGTATTTTACTTATCCCTTTGAGAAGAATTTTTGAAAGACAAATATTGCTAGCGTCATAGACTTCGGCAACAAAAATATGAACTATTATTTACTACTGTTTTTAGTATGAAAAAAATTCACGAAACATCAGGTAAAATCATGTTACTACTTTTTTAATTACTGTGAAAAACTTCTAGTATTTGTTTAATACCTATTGGGAACGTATATGCCATTTATCGAAATTTTCTTACAAATAACTTATGATGTCAACTTTGTTCTGACAGTCATTATCATTTAGATGGTAGTCGAAACTACACTTGACATCAGTAGAGTTTGCTTTAAAACTTAAAGTGCGTTAGAAAGGTTTAAGCCTAAACATCGGTTGAGTCACAAGAAATCGTTTTATTATATGCTTAAATTCCCGTTTATTTGATCAGAATTCTGTCTTAAAAATATTCCTACTAAAACCTCTCAAGCGTGGGCTCAATGAACTTCCAGATAGACGACCGATTGCAATCCTAGCGCTATCAGAATACTCACATATTTTTTTCGTAAAAATTAGGTTAAAATAATTTTAGTGTTTTTTCTGACTCTACGTAGATGGTCAACTCATTAGAGATAGAAACTATATTTTGTGAATATATATAAAAAATGTATTTAACAACTTTTTTGATCAGAAGTCTCACTCTACAAAATTTTGTTAATTTTTTAAGGACTCTCGAACAAATAATTGATCGAGTTGTTTAATCTGAACACATTCATTCTTTTTTTTATGCACAATACAATGGGCATATAGTGGCCTATGTATTTGAAGAGGTATTTTCAGAAAAAAACAATATCCGTCTAGTCGATCTAGAATGAAAAGATGACGTTTATAACAGTTTGACCAATCTTATTTATCTGCGCAACATTATTCCATGCATTAAAAGTCAACGATAGAAACATAATATTCTTTTTTTTTTTTTTTATCATATACTTTTATTGTGCCCTTTATCCTGGTTCACAGGTTATAATAATAAGAAGAGAGAGAAAAAAAAAAAAGGGACGAGAGAGAGCAAGACAACAGAAAGACTAGAGAAAGTACTTGGTATAATATAATATCGTTATTTTAGTATTACATCTGATAATGTTCACCTGAGTCAGTATTCTATAGTAGTAATAAGAAATGGAGTAATAGCACAGACGGTATTTTACTAGATATCCGAATCAAGAGAGGAAAGTGAGAATATAACGACCTTTAATGAAAGGAAAAGTATTACGATGACAGTGTACACGCTGATATACAACTTATAAGAGATAGGATATAAGGTGAGAGAAGGAAAAAGCAGAGAAACAAACAAAAAAAGAAAGACAACAAACGTAATAAACAAACAAAAAGAAAAAGAAAAAAAAACAAAAAAAAAAAAAAAAAAAAAAGTGGTATACAATGGAAGAATAATAGACCGATCAATAATAGTCCATTGGATTCTCGGTAAAATATTTGTATATGAATAGGTAAATTTCTTTATTTGTTTTTTTATAATATTCATATTGCTTGACATGGACATTTTCAAACTCTAACCAATCTATCATGGTATGTTTAACTTGTAGACGTAAACGCTTGAAAAAGAAATTATTTTTTCTTATACCTAGTATTTTAAACCAGTTTTTATCGGGTTTAGTTATATTTAAATATTCATTCCAATTCATTTGGAATGCTAAAGCTTCATCTGCAGTAAGTAAGTGAAGTACCAGTCGGCGCCAATATTCATATATATAATCGTATAACGATTTTTCTCTTGAAAGAACTAGCGTTGTTATATCATCCCAACCCTGTAGGTCATAAACTATTCTTAAACCGGTGCAGTAAACGTGAGCTATCTTCTCTTTTTGTCTTTCCGTAAAGAAAAACCAGGTACTAAATAACCATATAAAATGCGGAAGGGCATATGCTAAATATATTCTCCTACGAGTTATTACATCTTTTTTCTTAATTGTTTTACAGATTATTTTCATAGCATTATGTATTTTACTTATTGATTTGATTCTTTCATTTATATATTTCTCCCATCCCAATTTTACTGTTATATGTATCCCTAAGTATTTAAAAGTTTTCACATATTCAATTAGTTGATCTTTATAAAAGATTTTTGGGTATAAGGGGGAAACTACATTGTGCACTAGCATCGCTTTCGTTTTCAATATATTCACCGGAAGAATTAAATCATCAGAAAATTTCTCAAGCTGTTTCATTACTATTTTTGCTCTATCTTCGAGTTCATTTATGTTCCTCGAAAATTTATTTTCAAGAGATCCATTTAAAACGAGGGCCAAGTCATCAGCAAAGAGGTGAATTAAGCAGTTAGTAAAATACATAGGGAGAAAATGTATATGAATACGAAACAGTGTTGCTGCAATTACAGAACCTTGTGGCGCTCCTCTTTTCATTTGTACCACTCGGGATTTTTCTTCACCATAATGTATACTAAATGTTCTATTTTTTAACCAGTTAAATATCCACTTAATTAATGGTGCAGGCATATTTAGCTCATATAAATTCCTGATAAGAGCCGGGATCCACATTCGGTCGAATGCGGAGAGAAAGTCAATAAAAAGGGTCAGGGCGGGTCTATTGTTAGCTGCTACTGTTAGTCTTAGGTCTTCTATCAGCGATATGATTCTTGTTTGTAAACGTCGTCCTTGTGAAAAACCAGATTGTTCATCAGTGTAAATGTTATTGTTTTTACACCACGTTAAAATCCTACTGTGTATTATTCTTTCAAAACACTTTCCTAAATTTGGTAATAATGATATTGGACGAAGTCGATCGGGTGTAGGATATATACCTTCTTTAGGCAAACATATTATCTTGGCATGTTTAGCAGCGTTAAAAAATTCTCCTTTTTCTGAACATCTGTTGAATAGGACTGTTATTATATTTATATATTCATTTGGTAGTTTCTTCAGGAGAAATGCAGATGTATCAGTACTATCTGTCGATTTCTTTGGCGCGATTTTTTTCCATTCTTTAATTACTTCGATTATCGATATTGGTTCAAGTGGTAGAGTTGGTGCTCGACTAATTTTATCATAAATGGATAGACATTCAAAGTGAAAGGGATTATTATTATCTGGTTCGGGTTCATCAAAATGTTTTTCATAATGATCGGCCAATAGATCCACTATTTTTCTAGGTTGTTTTATCTTTTCATCATTTGTTGTTATTCCACGAAATGGAGGAGTAAACACATGAAAAATAGGGCGAGTGAATTTCCATATATTATTATCCTTTTTTATCCATTCTACTTTATTTTCGAATTTTTGTTCTAAAATTTTTGATCTTTCCTCAAGAAATAACTCTTTTAATCGTAGAAAATGTACTAGATGAATTTTTGTTTTATTTCTACGGTATATTCTTCTTCTTCTATTTAATTGTCGAGCGAGAAAGACTAAAGATGGTGGCCATGGGGGGCGAAAAGTTCTAGCTGATTTGTAGATACTACTTCTATCCCAAAGACTAGCGAGAAAAGTAGTAAAATATGAGAAGAAATATTGTTCATCATAGTTATATACCAGTGATAGCCAATACTGATGGACCAATTGTAAAAAATACGAAAAAATACTCCAGTTAGTACATCTGAAATTGTTTGAATTTTCAACGAATAATGGTGATTGAATAAGTACAGGATAATGATCTGAGGTACCTTCATCTAGAACTTCGGTTATCCAACCGGAAGCATCGTGGGTTAATCCAAAACCAATTATTGAATTTGATCTACGTGATGTAGGTTTATTAGGTACAATCATAGAATTTCCTGTTTTTTCTAACCATGAAGCTATTTTGTTTCCACTGTCATTATTTATGTCACAATCCCAACTACTATGTTTAGCATTAAAATCACCGAATATAAAGAATGGTTTATTTCTACATTTTGAAAAAAAATGAAAAGGTGGTGATTCTCCTGGTGGTACATAAACAGCACCTATAAGAGTTGGTTCAGGTATTGTTTCAATTTGTATTAAAATAAAATTTTTCTCTCTACCAATTTCTTTATACTTAATCGAACGGTGACAAAGAATAGCAACTCCTCCGAAGGAGTTTGTACCTTCTTGAATTATAATGTGGTATTCAGGAAATGAGGGGGGCTTTTTAAGTACAACACTACCAATTTCTGTGAGAATAATTATCTGTGGTGCATAGTTATTCAGTAAAACATCCATGTCAGCAATATGACTATTTAAAGAATGAATGTTATATAATAAAAATAATAGATTATTATCTGAATTATCAGGTCTATTTTTCTTCCATTTTTTACAAAGATCAGATACACATACTTTAGAGTTCCATTCATCAATCATTACCTTCAGTTCTAATTTGTCCTTTAGAGGGCCATAATAGTTATTAATTAGTTCTTCATTAATCAATGGCGATGAATATCTGAAATCTTTATAAGCCATTGTTGATATTCAGGTGTAAATGTTGTGTAACTTCTAGTAATTTCATTGTAAAATCATCTAAAATTGGTGTATACGTGGAGAAAAATTTGTTAATGGCTGATTGTCTTTCAGCAAATGGAATAGATGATAATTGTTTTGATATTTCAGCATATTGTTGATCACCAGATTTATCCATAATAAAACATAAAGCTTGGTTAGTTACATGATTAAATTCTAAACATTCATTAATTGTATTCTTTAAAACCGCTATTGCTTCATTTTGTTTTTGTATAACAGATGAACAGCAAGTAATTAAGGATTGAATTTGATTGATGCTAGTTGATATTTGTGATTTAAGTTCCATATTTTTTCTATCATATTCTTCTTTAGCTAAAGCACAATTGATTTCAATTTGGTTTAGTTGTAATTTGAGGTTATTCATTATGTCCGATGGACAATTAGTTGAACATTTCGAAAAAGAAGAAGAAAAAAATGTTGATCTAGTTGGTGGTGGTATTTGTGGCCATTCCTCCGAGTTATTTCTATTTTTTACTTGTTGATTATCAGGTGTTTGACGTGTATAGACATTTGGATTACTAATTGTTTTATTACCTTGACGTCGATACTGAGTAGGAATAAATAATTGAATGTCATTTGGTAATGATTCGGGATGTTGTTGAATATGTTGGATAAGATCTCGTCGATAACATTGTACAGCAACACATTTATAATCAGTCGATAAATGTTCCTCTTTACAATTATGGCATCTAATTTCACATTCATTATGTTGGCCAACATTTCTATCACCACCACATCTTCTGCAGCGTTCAAAATCAAATGAACAATTTTTCTTGCTGTGACCTGGCTCGTTGCACTTGGAGCAAAAGAGCACTCGTGGAGCAGCAAGATATTCAACAACATGGAAGACTTGTCCTTCCATACATATTATACCTGAATTAAGAATTTGTTTATATTCACTTTCACTTAATAAATCCATTCTGACATAGCGAGATTTACCATTATTTGTACCTGTAATTTCATCAATTATATAAATCGTTTTGAATTTCTGTTCAAGAATATTTTTAATATCCTCAATACCAAGTGAATTTTGTACACCTTTAATAATGATTGATCTATTTGGTGGTAAATGTTTTGGTAAAATAACTTTTACATTAGTATTAAAAATTGTTTTAGGTACATGTTGTACATCACATAAGAATATAAATAAATAGATATTGTTAGTATAACATAGTAAATCACCTTTATTATCAATAAACCAAGTATCAAAACCAATATCATTATTTGTTTTAATTTTTGGATTAATTTTTTTAACATCATCTTCAATTAATTTAATTAATTCTTTTATTAATGCAGCACCATCCTTATGTTCATTTAATTTAGGTTCACATTCAAGACGAATTGCAGGAAGATTTTGTTCAACAGCATAAGTAATAGCATTTCTCGTGATTTTAAATTTAAAATCTCCTGTTTTAACAATTGCATTTTGTTGGTTATTATTTAATTGGTTGTCCATTTTATCCATTCGTGAAGAAATTCTATTGTAATTTGATGTCGTTGTCGCTGTATAATAAGAATTGGTTATTGTACGGGTTTTTCTTTGACTTGATCGAGATCTTTTTGGTGTACCATATTCATTAATAATTTTATCATATTCTTCATCACTAGCTGTTCTAATTCTTTTCTCACCTTGTTCACTTCCATTTGGTGTTAAACGTATTGCATATTCTTCACTAACTTTCTTTAAGAAAGTTAATTCAGTATCACGTCGATCTTTCATACCATCATTAATTGTATTAATATTTTTATTTGTTTTTGGATCTTTATTCGACATTGTTAATTATATTATTAATTTTCAATTAATAATATATTAAAAGAAAAAAAAAATGAGTCACGTGTTCACTCACGTGTTATTTATAAGTGAACGGGCGTGACAGGAAAGAAAGAAGATGATATAGAAAAAAAAGCGTCTTACCACTATATGTAC